AAATGTAAATCCTCTTTAAACCCAAAGTAATTTGAAGAAATTGACTAAAGCGTCATTTTCGAATTCATGGTAAAACGTCATTTGAAATAAAAAAAAGGCAGTGAGGAGGACGCTCCAAAGCAAAATAGCTTCAATTCAAAGCGAGAAAAAAGCAACATTTGAAAGAGAAGAAAAGCTACACAAATGAGCAAAAAATGTAAATCCTCTTTAAACCCAAAGTAATTTGAAGAAATTGACTAAAGCGTCATTTTCGAATTCATGGTAAAACGTCATTTGAAATAAAAAAAAAGGCAGTGAGGAGGACGCTCCAAAGCAAAATAGCTTCAATTCAAAGCGAGAAAAAAGCAACATTTGAAAGAGAAGAAAAGCTACACAAATGAGCAAAAAATGTAAATCCTCTTTAAACCCAAAGTAATTTGAAGAAATTGACTAAAGCGCATTTAGGTTGAAATTGATCCAAAGCTCTGACGCCTAAACCAGAAAAAGTGTCACATAAAACTGCCCACGAACTGGCTCAAGTTCAGTAGGTCTCAGGGTCAGAATTTATGTTTATTAGCATATTTGATTGATCCAGTTTATGAATGGGATTCGCGTTTGGTGTCAACATAAACACCGACTTTGAATGAAAAACCACGTCGATTAGCTGGTTTGCTAAGCTTAATCCGAAAAAACGGACAGTGGCAAACTGGCCCAAAAAAATCTAGAAAATTGCCAAAAAAACTGTGAAACTTCCCGATTAGTATGCAAAGAGCAAAGCCTGGTAACTAAATAAGTACAAGTGAGAAAAGTGAAAAGAATCGTACACAAAATGCAAATTAGAGCCGCTGTTGATTAAAAAAATTAGACGTTCAGTGGCGCACAAAACAAATAAGGCAAAAGTCTCTTTGGAGGAACAGTTCCGAAGTAAGCAGGAGCAAAGGACGTGCTTCCCTTTACGCATTCTCTTACACCTACTTAAGTGGGCACCACTATTCTTCTACAATTTCTGCAATTTGAGGCTCTATTCGAGATGTGTTCCAACTTTTGGCCCAGACCATCTTTACCACCCTTAAGACTTAAGGGGTTTTTCTACAGAGCAACTCTTCACCCCATAACCACTTTCCTCAACATTACGTGCATAAACCCAGTCCAATTGCCTGATTGTGCACAATATTTCGAAACACCATCGACTATTTAATGAATGAACGCACCTGATGAATGATTGCAGATTGCGCCAGTATGAAGACATCTACATTAGCAGTGGCGTGGCTCTGGATGGGGCTGGTGGCGGCGTTTGGAGGCAGCGAGGACCGATTCATCAAGAAATACGCCATGATGAAGGTAAGCAATCTTAACCTCTTTGATTCTTGAAAATTGAATGAATCCTGCAGATATACGAGAGCTGTTTTGGCCCGGAAGTCGTGCGCCAGATTCGCAAGGAAATGAAAGCGGCCTGTTTGAAGTGCGCCACCTATGAAGCGCCTGCAGCCCCAGCTACAACTGCTGCGCCTCCCCAGCCTTCTTCTACTGAAGATCCTGGGCAAGCCGACGCCAATTTGCCTGCGGCAAACCCCGCCTACAGCGGCAACGCCCAGGGAATCGACGTGGATAAGCTGCATCAAGCCATCATGGCCTTCAGGCCTGTAAGTCACCCCCAGCCCAGCCAATCGCTCGCCAGCTCTACTGGGCATTTCCAGAATATGGGGCAACAGCCCTACAGGCCTGCCTCCTACTCCCAGGCGCCCCCTAATAACTTCTACAGCCCCATGGCTTTCAGCAATCCAGGTTTCCAGAACCCGGGCGGCTTCCCCTTCTTTTACCCAGGATATCAGCAGATCCCGTTCTCTCCCTATGGAGGCTACCCAGTGGTGGGACAACAGTTCTATGGAAGCGGCACCCGAATGTCTGTAAGTGCTCGCGCAACACCTTTAAGATGGTCGTGGAGATTCTTCTACATTTTCCAGAGGGATATGGACATTAGGGGCCAGATTGAGGCAATTACTTCAAAGATGAGCGGCAAAGTGCGCAATGTGACCTGCGTGATGCAGGAACTCGGATATTTGGACGCCAATCTGGAACCGAACTTTGAGAAGATCAGCGAGAGGATCGGCAATCTGCCAGTGGATGAGGAACTGAGGCGTGATATGCAGGATGGTGTTTCTTTCTGCCAACAGTTCTCTGTAAGCTCCAGTTGAACCTTCAGGAAACTCTAGCAAACTAATCACATTTTCAGCAATGCGTGCCGGAAGTGAAGAAGGAAAAGTCCCCATTGAGCCGCGAGCTGATCCGGCCGATGTTCTTCTTCAAGTGCTACAAGCACAAGAAGCTGGAAGCCTGCATTATGCGGGACGTGAGGGAAAAGTACGCGGGAGTGACTGAGGACGACTTTGAGGGAGGCGACATGGAGTTGAGGCGCACCGGGCGTCATGGAAAGGCCGCCAGTCTTGGAACGGACGAGGAGAGCGAAGTGGATAACTTGGCAGCTTCCATGTACGAGTTCCTCTACGCTAGTGACAGTGGCTTTGATGTGGATGGCATTTTGTAAGCTCTTCAGCTGCATTTCCCTTGGACTTTTGCAATGGAACAGTACGGGATTTTGTACAGTTTTATTGTGAAAATTCGATGATGTTCGTTCTTATTTATTCAAATAAAGGAGTGTGTGGAATAACGGCGGCCTCAAAATGATTTGGTGATTGAATCAGGTTTGTGTTGTTTTTGTTTCACTTAAAGCAACATATTTTGCCGATTTAATAATTTGCAAATACTGTTTGTTGCGCTGTTCTTTCTTGGGTTTCTTCGCGTTTAGCAGACAAAAAGCGAGGTTTTATAAAAAATATATAACAGTTCACAAATACAGAAGCGGCGTGGTTCTTTAATCAGGTTTGTCGCGTTTTGAATACTGAACAACGTTGATTGAAGTTCAGGTTTTACGTTGTTTTTATTTCACTTAAAGCGATATATTTTCTTCAATTTAAGAATTTACAAATACAGACGCCGCCTTGTTTTTTCCAGTTTCTTCGCGTTTAGCCAACTAAACAATAGTGGTTTTATAAAAGAATGTGTAACAATTTACAAATACAGAGGCTGCGCTGTTCTTTCTTGGGTTTCTTCGCGTTTAGCAGACAAAAAGCGAGGTTTTATAAAAAATATATAACAGTTTAGAAATACAGAAGCGGCGTGGTTCTTTCATCAGGTTTGTTGCGTTTTGGACACTCAACAACGTTTATTGAAGTTCAGGTTTTGAGTTGTTGGTATTTCACTTAAAGCAATATATTTTCTTCAATTTAAGAATTTACAAATACAGACGCC